TCATGAGGACTATGCCCCCTCGGGCCCGCTTCCATGGCATACCTACTTTGGTGCCCAAGAGAGGCCAAAGACACACAGCTCCACTCTTATGACCGTAGCTGGTGCTAAACGCCATAGTGACTCCATTTATGTCACTACACATATATAAAAAAAACATTCCAGCTATTCTCAATCCACTGCTATATCAAGGCCTCTCCATGTCGTGGGTTCGATCTCGACCCTGATGCCTGCTGTACATTTGGAGTTTGCATGTTCTGCCCGTGGTCGCGTGGATTTTTCTCCGGATCCTACAGTTTTTTCCTCCACATTTAGAAACATCCATTTAGAGTGTTTGGCTGATACTAATTTCCACGTGATGAGCTCATTCATTGAGCTATAATTTGTGATATCCAGGTCGCTTCTGAGAAAAGAACCACATAGCTCAAGGTGGGCCTTACCTGGTAAAGAAAAGAATAGATGTATGAGGCGACGACCATTCTTTACCACGTTGGTCAATCCAGGATGGTGAAGAAGATGAGGCGGGACGGCGGGCGGGGTAGAGGTTGGGGGGGGGGAGAGGACCGCTTATTGATGTCACTCACCACCAATGTTAGCCTTGACCAGGAATCCAACTCGGGTTGCTGGATCCATAAGCACAGTACACTAACCACTGTACCCCCACCGCTTCCCTCTGCAATACATTCATTTACAGTTCAATGCATTTGAGTGCCGTTTACCAACTTGCAGCGTGGTGAACTGTGGCAGTAATTGTAACCTCGTGTTCCCGCGTGAGCGATTGCTGTTCTTCTCAGCTCAAAAAAATGTGTGTGGACTTTTCCTGAGCACCACAATTTCTTCTCGCATGCAAAAATAATTTTTTAAAAATGTCTAAACATGCCCAAGCAGTATCTCCTCAAAATATTTATCTAGAATCTGCGAGATCTTCAAGGGTCAGCACTCTACTTTCTTCACTCTTCGCTATCAAGCGTCTATCGGTGAAGATAAATTTGTCAGTTAACAGCTTCAGATGAAAACAGTGCTAAAGTGAAGTTACGGTTTTTTTTTCGAATAATACAGCCACATAGATTGTTCGCCTTTTCAACCGAGGACGAAATCGTCTTCATCCCAAGTATTGACCTAGCCCCAAGTGATATCACTCTTCCTTTTGTACTTAAACGACAACAAATTCCGATAATTCCTGCATATGTGATGACGATCAACAAGTCGCATGGTCAGACTTTTGAAAATGTGGCTATTTATCTCAATGATCCCGTATTTTCCCTATGGCTAGTTGTACGTGGCTCTGTCTAGATCTAAATAGCCTCAGCAGATCAAAGTGTTCATCAAGGATAGCCATTGCAATTGCATGAGCCACAGTCCTATACCTCGCCCATTTCCCCTCGTCAACAGGAGGAGTAGGGCGACGATGCCATCCCCAGCCGTAAGTGATGATGAAATTCTCGCTTGCAACTTTCATCAGCTAGCTGAGACCATGCCACTAAGGGTTTGAATGGAGTTCTGGGTGTAAACCCACCACAGGAGTGGAAGAATGGCAGGCGCATCTCATAGATGACAAGTCGATGGTCAGTGGGCAGATCAGCTCCACGGTAGGTCCTGGTGTCAAGGACATAGGCCCACATCCACTGTTCCGTCACTATGTAGTCCAGCAGATGTTCTTGCTTGGACCAGGCATGCATCCATGATATTGTGTGGATGCACCGATGCCGGAACAGCATGTTGGTAATTACAAGCCCATGGGCTGCACAAAAATCTAGCAGCCTCCTACCGTTGTTATTGAGCTGATCTGGCCCATGTCTTCCAATCACTCCAGCCCAGGTGCTAGCATCCTGACCAACTCGGGCATTGAAGTCACCCAACAAGATGACTCTATCCCAAGGGGTCACTTTAGCCAGCACCTGTGACAGGAGGTCATAGAAGGCATCTAACTCATCGGCCTTGCCTGCATCCCTCCACGGATGTTCATCTTCGGTGTGGGATAAGTAACCACGACCACCACTCCACGTCTCTGGTTGATGGGAAGGCGAGCCTAAATTAGTCTGGGGCTTACAGCTTCCCACACCTCACCGCCACGCTCCCATGCCCCCTTCATTCTTTTGTTCAGAAGAAGAGCCACTCCTTGTTGTTTGGCAGTCTCCTGCCCCGAGTAGAGGACTGTCCACCCCTCACGGTGGCAGGAGCCAGAGCCGGTCCACCGGACCTCCTGAATACCAGAGATCCAGGCGGTACAGGTCCAGCTCCTGACAGAGGAGTGGCAGCCTCTCCACCGCAGTGAGCGTTCGAACATTCCACGTGGACATCCGTAGTGGCTTTTTGTTGCATCTGGAGGAGCCCCGAGGGTAAGGATTCAGTCTCCTGGCTCCGCCAAATGGGGTTTGGCCAGGAGACGTCATAGACGCATGTCCCCCCGGGGCCTCCGGCACAAGCTTAATCATTTTTTTTACCTCGTAGTTTAGTGGTAGTTGATTGAAGGTGAAGGGGTTACCTGCCCCCAGCACCCGTCCAGAGCTCCCATATGGCCGCTGTGGTGGTTAAAAACGCCATGAAGGGAAAGGCCAATCTAAATTGGTCCTCCCCCACAGCACTGCCCACCACAACGTTGCCGTCTGCCACCACGAGGAGATAGGGGATTGTTTTTGCCGGACAAAGACCCCCAATATAACCTTAACAAATTGTATGGGCAAGTGCTGTTAGCGAGTACCTATAAAGGCCGGCATGGCACACGAGGGGATGGGAGGCCAGCACCACGCCCGGCCGCCTTTGTCTCCCTAGAGGCAATGTTTTACACATCGCACCAGGTACTAATTTGAGGCTGAGTCGACCTAGGGGAGGCCCAGGACCGGTTCAAATAATCGGCACTGGTGTTGGCCATGAGCGGGAATCGAACCCGTGTAGCCAGGTTCGTAGCGCAGCGCGCTAACCGCTCCACAACTGCTCCCCACTCTCCCCACACATGCTCACACAAACACACATGGCACACATTTTGTCCACTGGGCCCAATCGAGAGGAAATGCGCGCAGCTGCGGGGGGACAGCCATGTCCAACGGGGGATTTTTTTGACAAATCCGATTATGGGATTAGGTAATCAGATTTCGGGATTGAAAGCAGGAATCTGCTTATGGATAGGGACATACATATGGAGGGGGCAGTTGTGCGGGACCTTACTGACAAACTCATTACCACACACCGTTTGAGTGGCCGCGGATTAGCGGTGGGACAGCCACCGCACAGTCGCTTCCAAACGAGGTTCACGGACCTAATTTCAAACTTCACGACTCTCAACAACCCTTGCTCATGATGGGACCTCCCTTGCCAGTATCAAAATATAAGAATGGATTTTACCGTTTCTGGCAATAAAATAGGTGTTGAGATGTTAAAACACTAAATATAAACCTTTTGCAAGTGCATTGTCTTTGTGCCGTTCGTCTTTTGGCGTCCTCTGGTCTAATACTGTTTGAGACTAGACTCTGAAGAAAGCTGTCTCTAGTGTGGACCAATCAGGTTCAAAGGCAATGCATATACTACCAGAGCACGTTTTTGTGTTTGCATGTTCGCCACAAAGTATGTGTGATTAATGTAGACAAGAAATTATTCCTTCCAAAAGATTTCTGTTCGGTGTTTTAACATCTTAACACCTGTTTTATTGCCAGAAAGGGTAAAACCTATTCTTATAAACCATTACCCAGTCGCCTCTTCTTGGGAGGGAGCAAGCCCCCATTGGTAGTGGATTTAAAAGAAGTGCAGAAGGAAGGAAGGTTAATTGATCTTAGTAAAAGCCATTTGATTGTGATGTCCGGATATATGTATGTGTGCTTTCGTGGTTACTGGCTTTTCACAATAATTAAGGACCTTCATGATGGTGGGCAGCCACGTGGCCAGGAGTCAGAGCTATGTTCACCTTGGGTATGGCAGGGATGTCCTCTGGCTCCTACATTATTTGATATTTTTTGACCATGTAGTTCGAGAAGCTTTCCATGGCTGTACCAGAGGAATTTCCATCTGGTACAGATACAGTGGGAGGCTGAGCGATACCTGGGTGCTGTCAAGGAATGGCTGTCTATTGGTCAAAATTTTTATGTATGCTGATGATCTGGCTATTTTATGGCATGAACTTCTCCACCTCCTCAACTCCCCATGAGTGATAAAGCAGTTGTGGGGAGAGTGAAGAAGTTTCCATTCCTGGGCAGTGTGCTTATATGGTCTCACTCAGAATGCGTAACACTGTGTGGAAACCTGGTCTTCTCAGCCACAGTTACTCCCTCCCTGCTCGATGCTTGCGAAACGTAGACCCTGCCAATAAAAAAATCTGTGCCGGTTTTTAACATTCAAGCTGGCTTGCCTACGGTCAATCTTGGATTGAATAAGGCTGGATTGTGTGAGAAGCTCACAGGTCCTTGAAAGAGTGGACTTGCCAAAAACTGGTACCAAAGGTGTCAAGATCAGATTCTGTGGAGTAGGCTCGTGCAGGACGCTACTGGGCAGTTGGAGGCAGTTGCCCTCCAACAACAACAGAGGGCAGAGGAGCGACGCTCGCAACAACAATGAGCGGAGCGCCGGGCGGATAAAACGCAGGAATTTGGCAGAGTAGGGGGCACAGCTGGTGTATCTGCCAGTCATCTCAGTCAGTTTAACATGTAGACTTTTGGGACCATATCCATAACAGAGGTTTTTGGGTTATATTGCGCAAATATTAATGTGTCGTTAAACCCGTCACCACCCATCACACAGCCAATTAGTAACGTTTGTCACGTAAACAAACAAATTCGTTACTAGTTCAGCACACCGGTGTGCTAGAGAATAAACTCACAACATTTACATCTCAGTCAATGAACCCATAACACCTGGGTCTGTCCCGCGACCTCCTGTCAACAAGCCTTTGACACTTCACGTGGTCTCAAAGTGCACCTAGCCTGGCACAAGCACCGTGGTGACGTCACCGCCACTCAGTGGCGAACGGTGCCTTCTACGTGGATATATTCGCGCGCGTGCGTGTGTGTGTGCAGCGCTCGCCCTCATGCAGTCGGAGCAGATGAACGGCACGCCGTCGAGCGAGCAGTCGCGCGCTCTCACGCATCCCCCGGACGGCACCCTCGCGCACTATCTGGGCGTGCGCCACGCGGGAGCCTCCGCCCTGGCCGAGCCCATCACCGCCAAGCGGGTCTACTTCTACAAGAGCGGCGACCCGCAGTTCGGCGGCCTCAAGGTACGCGACGATGACCGCTGTCGATGGGCGCACGTGGGGTGCGTTTCGCGGAGGCTTGGCCTGGGGTCGATGGGTCACGACATCTGGAGGGGAAATTCGATGGCTTGGCAACGGCCGTTCCCACAGCGCAAGGCTTTAAGCAAAGGCGGCTGTGTTGTACAGGCGGGTATGGCTGCCATGGCAAGTGAGATGAGATTCGGGGTGGACAGATTTCACCCCGTGGGTATAGCCTGTATGGGCGACTAAAGCGAGCACCTGTGCTCTTTTGAACAACTTGAGGTCAGGTGAGTACAGTCCTCCCTTAGCTAGCTGTGAGCGGATTACCGATGTTTGTGGACAAATAAATTAAACATCTTTACGCACTGCGTTATTTTTTTCTCACTCTCATAGAGGGTCTGCGATTTGGTGCTCACGTGACTGAAAACACATTGGCAATTAAATTATTTATTTAATACAACACTGGAGGTGAGCGATAACAATCGGTGAGATGAAAAACAAGAGGTAGAGATGAGACACCCGGAGACAATACGTGAACACTCGCGGTCGCACGCACAGCTGTTATGAGGTCACGACCCCCGTGTGACATCCAAACTTCTGTGCACGAGACACTTGGACCTCGAGGCCTTGCAGGACGCCACTCGCCTCGTCGGCGCTTGCCCGTTTCACTGGACATCTGTGCAAAAGAGCTTCATAGCTCATCGTAATCCTCCAGCCTAAATAAAGATTCCGATTCTCATTATTCCGGCGGCCCGCCCGCTGGCGGCATCAAGTTCTCTCTCTCCCCCGCGGTAGGTGGCCATCAACAACCGCACGTTCAAGACGTTCGATGCGCTGCTGGACAACCTGTCGCGGCGCATGCCGCTGCCATTCGGCGTGCGCACCGTGAGCACGCCGCGCGGCCTCCACGCGGTGCGCGACCTCGAGCAGCTCGAGGACGGCAAGGCCTACGTCTGCTCCGACCGCCGCCGTGCCAAGCCCCTGGACCTGGAGCAGGCCTCGCGCCGCCCCCAGCCCTGGAGGTCGAGGTGCGTGTGGAGAGACCCTCGCTTTGTACTCGTTCGGATTCGGTTTTCGGTTCGCGAGTCGTGGACGTCTGAGCGTCAGGCTCGGCCGGAGGGGGGAAAAAAGACGAAGCTCGGGCCCCACGCCTGAACGGTCGGTTCGCGCGACCAAAGTCGCTCTTCGAATTGCGCGGCTCGGTCGCAGCCCGCGGCCGCTTTGTCCGCATCCCGGTGGATAGTTGGATATGAAACGTCGTGTTCAGGAATGTGACGGCCGATCGCAGTTCGCACGCGTGTCACGTGATAATCGCCGAGCGAGATCGACGCGTGAAAGTCGAGCAACTTGTCGTGCAACTCTTGATTTGTTCTCCGTGCCAATATTGGCGTCAATAAAGTCGTGCATCAGCGCACATCACGGCAGAACGGGAATGGTACAGGGGGCATTCAGCAATAGGAATGAAATAAGTATAACCCGTAAAAACAAAGTTTTTCACTATAAATCCTTTATATGCGTGGCAGCGAACTTAATATAAAGGATTTAAAAATATATTCGCCTGTGGAGGACGCGGAGATCGATCCCGCGACCTTTGGCATGGGAAGCGAGGGCGCTACCAACTGCGCTACTCCGCTACGGACTGTGGAGGGGTTACGCTCTGGGCTCTTATACTGTGACGTTCAGCCAAAGCGATGAATGAGTTCTATTTGAATATATGTAAAATACATTTTTTTTGCCTAAAAAGTGTAAAATTTTGGGAATTTTTTTTCACGAACATTAATTGTCTGGCACAACGAGTCTGTGTGGAAAATGTCAGCTCGATTGGATCACGGGAAGTGAGTTAAAAAACGACCGAAAGATTTGCACGGTCGTAAGCAAGCAAGCAAGCACGCAAGCAAGCAAGCAAGCATGCGAACTTAATATAAAGGATTTAAAAAGAAACCCGTCACGCCCTCAGCGGCTAACACCGACTGAGCAGAGTAAATTGGAACCGCGCGCAAAATAAAGTGCAACCGTGCTCAACGAATAGCATGAGAAAGGTGAGTCGTCAATACAAATTAACAAAATAAATAACAAGTAAAGAAACAGGTTTTATTTGAAAATTTATATTTTATGGGAAAGCAAGTCTAAATAGGTGTGTCTTGCTTCTGGTTTGCAGAGACGTCCGCATAGTGGCAATTTAAGTTGTGCAACTGATCACTCAGATATCTTAATATTAACGACACCTGAATATTAACGGCACCCCAATATTAACAATACCCTAATATTAATACCACCCTAATATTAACGACACCATACATTAACGACACCCCAATACGAACGACACCCCAATATTAACGACACCCCAATATTAACAATACCCTAATATTAATGCCACCCTAATATTAACGACACCAAACATTAACGACACCCCAATACGAACGACACCCCAATATTAACGACACCCCAATATTAACAATACCCTAATATTAATGCCACCCTAATATTAACGACACCAAACATTAACGACACCCCAATACGAACGACACCCCAATATTAACGACACCCCAATATTAATAATACCCTAATATTAATGCCACCCTAATATTAACGACACCAAACATTAACGACACCCCAATACGAACGACACCCCAATATTAACGACACCCCAATATTAACAATACCCTAATATTAATGCCACCCTAATATTAACGACACCAAACATTAACGACACCCCAATACGAACGACACCCCAATATTAACGACACCCCAATATTAATAATACCCTAATATTAATGCCACCCTAATATTAACGACACCAAACATTAACGACACCCCAATACGAACGACACCCCAATATTAACGACACCCCAATATTAACAATACCCTAATATTAATGCCACCCTAATATTAACGACACCCGAACATTAACGACACCCGAATACTAACAACACCTAAATATTAACCTTTTCCCATGCCCCGTCCCTGCAGCCGCCGCCCCCTGACGAGCAGCAGCAGCCGCCGCCAGGCTTTGCGTTTGCTCCGGCGGCAGGAGATGGGAGGGGGAGCGGAGGAGCCAAGGTTGGCGCGCGCCACCCCGCGCCGTCTCACCCTGGTGCGCAACGGCGATGCGACGGGGCCGCGCTACGCCCTGCTGCTGTCACGCCGTTCCGCCTCCAGTGGCCTCGCCGGGCTGCTCGCCGATGCCTCCCAGATCATGGGCTTCAGCGTGGCACGGCTCTACACCACTGATGGGCGCAAGGTGATGAGCGCGTGCTTGTGTGCGCGTGTGTCCGTGTGTAGGTGTGTGTTGTGACAGTGCGGCGGTTAGTACATTGCGCTACCCACCCCCTCGTGTGCCGTGCTGGCCTTCATAGGTGCACGCTAAGAGCACTTGCCCCACAGTGTGCGTCTGGTTGTGGTGGTGCTCGTGGCGGAGGTGGCAGCGGCTCGTTGCTGAGACTAGTAACGAGGTTGTCTGTCGCAGTCATCAAGAGCTATCGACAGAGGTGGCAGCGGGATGGTTGGAAGAGTCATGATTATTGTCGTGAACATCAGAAGTTCCATTGTCATTCTCACCATCACCACGGTCAACATCAGCAAAATCTTCTGAATCGCCATCGTTGTATGTTGCTGCGCGTGTGTTGCCTCTATATGCTGGTATATGTTGCCACGCATCGATTGAATCCGTGCCGAGTGAGTGAGCGCACGTGGTGTGTGTATTTTCCCACGCGTGCGTCGAGCCAGCGTTCGCCGCACGCACCCACCGAACACACGCGTTGCCGTGTCGCGCAGGTGGAAAGCCTGCAGGCCCTGCTGCACGTACCATCCACGCTGGTGGCCGCCGGTCGGGAGCCGTTTCAGCCGCTGCTCTACGACGCCATGCGGCTGCCGCTGCTGCAGAACCCTCGCGGTGCCGCCCGGGCCGAGGGCAAGACGAGTGAGTGCGCGATTCCGGTGACCCTCGGTTTGTGTTGTGTGATGGTGCCGCCCCCTTTCCAGTGCCTGCGGTTGGCCGTACCGCACACAAGAACTCTGGCAACTCCGGCGCTGTACACAAGCAGGAAGGGCACCTCTCGCTAAATACACAAGCACGCCAAGAACCATCACTCCACGTGCATTGTAATCGCTTGTTAACGTGAGAACAAAAGACAGAGGTCTCCCCGGTAGCCTAAGTAGACTGTTGGGGCAAGTGCTGTTTAGCATCGCACCAGGCACTCATTTAAAGCTGAGTTAATCTAGGGGATTCCCAGTGCTCTAACCACTACACTAGTGCCCCCCATAACACACACACAAACCCCACCAACATCCACGAAGCATGCCAACATCTACCACTGCAGTTTCACTTGATAACTTGATAACATATGCTCGTATTTACACAAATAGTGGTCTTGTAACAAAATCTTAACAATTTATTAGCAGTACAATTTGAAAGCTGTTTTAAATATCCTAATTTTTTCACCCTACATAAGAAATCCTGAATGTTCCTCAGCCTTTCTAAAACAACATTGTTCTGACACTTTGATTTTGATTCTCGCAAATCGTTCCTTTCCTCTTCTAAGCGTGCATCCAGTGGCACTGAGTTATCCACCACTTTGATCACTTTGTCGTGAAACTTGGTAAATTGTGATTTCCTTTTTCTGTTTCCTCCTCCTTCACCCCTTTGTCTTGCACTGTCCCTCACTGCTGCCCTCAATACGATGGACCGGGCTTCGCTTCTCTCCTTTGCACACTTAACTCACGCTGCCAAATAAACGCGGCGCAGTCAACCTTGGGGCGGTGCTGCACAAGAGGCGTGTAAACCCACAGCTGCCCTCCAGCCACAGCTCGAAGCGCTTCTCCGTCTACCTGGACAAGCCCTTGAGGATCAGGCCTCAGCAGGCCCGACCCCGGGCACATAGCGATAGCGGGGCGGCGGAGAGTTACAGGCGCGGCTACACGAACAACGACAGCTTTGCCTTCGCCTCATCCACCAGCACCCTCAACGCACCAGCCCACGCTCTGGCATCTGACCATTCGCAAGCCTCGGCTCAGTCCCAGCAACAAGACCAGACCCTGTATCAGATGTTTCCGCTGTCAACAGCAGCATCAGGAGGAGGAGCAGGAAGAGAAGCAGAAGGCGGAGGAGAATGGGGAACCAAGGTGGTGCCGATGGAGGAGGATGACATCGAGAAGAGGATCCACGTCAACCCAGATGGTAGCATGACGGTGGAGATGCGCGTGCGCTTCCGCCTACACAACGAGGTGGTGACGTGGAACACACGCGTGAGCCGCGAGAGCACGGTGCACAACAGCGGCGCCGCCGCCAACGCGGGCGACGTGCGGACGAGCAGGCTAACCGACACCCGCCCCTCCATGGAATTCAGCGACCCCGCACTGAGCCGAGTGGGAGCCGGCTCAGAGCGTGGTTCGGCGTCAAAGTGTTGGCAAACCGCGGAGGAACTCCTCGAAGGGCCGGTGAACTATGACATCTGGAAGAATCCGGCATTCAGGATGAGCCCCAACCCCTTCGACGTTGGCAGCCTGGACCTCAGCTGCCCCGGCGCCAGCCCGCCCGACAGGGATATCCCGCCGCCTCCGCCGTCGTCGCCGCCGGCGAACGAGGACTTCGTGCTGCGGCAAGAGTCACGGCAGTCATCGGTGGTGGGCTCAGACTTTCGGGAGGATTTTCTGCAGAAGGTAGTGGCCTTCATGGAGCGGCGACAAGATGGAGGGGGGGCGTTGGAGTTCCACGCGCTGAGGCGGCGCGTCTTCAGCAGGAGCGGCCGGGTGTTTCCATCTGTGCAGAGGCCTTCAACGGCCGGCGCCCGACTCATTGGCGACTGCCTCCTCCTCCTCGTCCCCGTGCGGGCGCAGCAAGGAGGAGGAGGCCTCTACAGGCACCGCAGCGAGGGACGCCGTGATGGAAATGCGTGAGCGCGTGGAGAATGGCACGCTACGTCACTGGGGAAGTAAAGCAAGTTGTGAGGACGTAGAAGTGGACCACACGCTGGTGGAGGGCAACATTGAGAGCCGCGGCGATGAACGGGAAGTGGCAATATCGAATTGCTCCAGCGATAACACATACGTCATAAGCAGGAGGGTAAGCGATGCCGAGGACACTGACGATGTCGAGGATCATCGGAAAGTTACTGGGAGTGGCGAACACTTGCTCAAGAGTCCGAATTCACTTCAGGAGGCTGATGTGGGCATTGTATCTGTAGAAGGCAATTACGAGGCAGAGGATCTTCCACTCGGCCTTGCAGTGAATAGCGAGAGGCGCGTGGGTGATGTGGATGTGACGAAGCCGCGCGGCGAGGAGCGGCCGAGCAGCGCGTCGAGCAATGCCGAGATGCTCGCGCGGCACACCAACAGCAACGGGGCCGCGGCCGATGTCGACGAGACCGACCAGTCCCAGTGGCGCTCCGCTGCGTCCGCATCATGCGACAAACGTGCGGCGACGCCCAACGTCATGGCCGAAGACCGGCGGGCCGATGTGGACGATTCGGATGGAGACCGGCGGACCGATGTCGACGACGATGGCGCCGGTCGGACCGCGGTGGCTCGTGTGCCCTCGTGGGAGGACACTGGGGAGCGGTCCCAGCGTGCCGATGAGAATGGCGCCAACGCCGTGCACGCCCAGCCGCACACGGCGCCAAGGCTGTTGCGGCAGCCGCTGCCCCCGGAAGGGAGGCCCAGCGCATCGGCACGAAAGACGCGGCTCAGAGAGCAGGCTGAGAATGGAGCCAGTACGGCTCGGCAGCCTCGGCGCAAGCCGGTGGAGAGCGGTGCGCAGAAGACGCCACGCGGCAGTGAAGGGGAATGTGACACGGTGCCCGGAAGTCACGAGAACGGTGCGTGGGATGTCGGAGGACGATGGCGGCGGCGTCCTCAATGGAGACGAATCGGACGCAGGAGAGAATGCGGCGTGTGGGAGGCACGAGGAGGGACGCCTCGCACTTCGTGGTGCCCGCGTCTTTGCCGTCCACGTCACCAAATGACACCATTAGGGAGTGGCTGGTGAAGATCTCCTCCAATCCCGAGGCGTTGGAAGATGACCTCACAGAGCTGGGGATGGGCTCGGGGGAAACCCACCAAGTGAATGGGGAAGTGCAAGACGGTGCCTCAAGCCCCGTCTTCAGGGGCGATGATCCATCCACTGGTGTTGACTGTCGGCTGAGGAAGCAGTGCATTGAGACGGAGATTTCTGTGATAAGGGAGGCCCTCCAGAGGTCACCTCATTTTACAACTCAGTCGCTAAACATGAAGGTAAGAAGTTTCGAGAAAGACCTGCACCCTTCGGACGTAGGCAAGAAGGAGCAACTGGTGCATTGCTGTGAGGAGGCTAAATTGTTGCCGAGGGATGGCAACGAGCTCATGTCTGTTCAGATTCTCAAGAACATCATAAAGTGCAAGGACAAGCTGATTCTCGATAAAACTAGAAACTACGTCGCAAGTCCTGCCTCGGAGGTGCAGTGCAATGGCTGTCCAAGCCGATGCCGGCACCGTCCTGCCACTGACGAGCGTTGCGAACAGCTGCGCGATGAGGCCCTCTCCTTCCTCGAGTTCCTTGGCCAGCTTGGAAGCCTCGAGGACGAGGACTGCATCCACACCAAGAGGTCTTCACCCGTCCAGGCGAGCGCCTCAGAGAAACTATTAAAGGCATGGAAGGACATCAGACGTCTTCCGCCCGAGGGTACACCTCTTGCGGAGAGGCCTGGCGATGCCGTAGATTCTGAGAAATCCTCCGGTCCATCTCGCAACACTGAGACAGTATTGCACACAAATTATGTTCAGGAAACACATGGGGATAGTGTGTTACCATCATCCGTTGTTAATGGAATTATTACGAATGGAGAAGAAGAAGACGGTGAAATGCATGATGGCCTTGAATCTGAAGACAATTATTCAACCCACAATGAATCATTTTCCCAGGGCGTGCAAAACGGCATCAGCGGTCAATGCAATGATAATTCTTCATTCAGTGGCGTCCACTTTTCCTTAGCGGCACCCGCCGAGTCGACTTGCGACGAAAACGATCGACATTCTTCCGAGGAAACGTCTTCCCTGACGTCCGTCACGAGCGACGAGGAAGACCTGAAGTCAAGCGATGTTTGTGCCGCCCCGACGTACGGCTCTGTGCCGACCTCCGGGAAGACCCCCAGGTCGGACGTCGGAGTGAACTGGCATCTCAACGCATGTCACACGCCCCTCTACAGGAGACCCGTCGACACAATCCCCGAGGAGGAGCCCTCTGAGTGCAACGTGCGCGAACAGGAATGCGGCGTCATCAGCGAGCGTCGCACGCTGCCGTGCGTTTGGGAAATGCCTGGCGAAGAGGACGTTCGAGATGTAGGCGGAGATGAGGCCTTAGAACCCCCGGAGGAAAACGGTGGGGCCGGCGCGAATGCAGACGTGGCGGGAGCATCTGTTGCGTTGATGTTGAGGAGTAGTGAAGATCGACATTCTGAAAACGATCACGATGCTCCTGAAAGTATGCTCATTCCTGAGGAGATTGCAGACACCGGCGTTTGCGGCATGGGCACCTCCAGGGCGGTGAACTTGGATGACGCCGAACCCGTTTCCGACGCTGAGAAAAGTGCAAGAGAGGTGACGCACACCGCTAAGGTTGTCACGAAGCAACCGGCACCCACGCAAGGGGGACCCGTGCTTCCCGCTCGAGACGAAGGGGACTTTCTCGACAGGATGTACACGGCGTGCGGGAACAGCTGCCCGATCCTCACAGCGGTGGAAGCCCCAGATAGGCAGAGACAGAAGCTTTGTCTACCAGAAGCCGTCAGACCCAGAAAACGTGTGGGTGGGGCAGGCTCCTGAAGAAAGTGGGGAAGACGTGTGTGCAGCTCTACAGCAATGTGATGCGCGAGTTCAAGCTCAAGTGGGACCTCGGCGAGAACGAAGAGGTGGATGAGATGATCCGAGCCGTGCAGGAAGAGGTATCCA